CACTCACCGGCTGCTGTTGCAGAAAATGACCCAGGTTCAGTTCCCAGCACCCACATGGCAACTAACAACTGTCTGTAACTCCAGTTCCAGGGGATCTGACGCCCTCTTCTGACCTCCTCAGGAACTGTATGACACGGGTGCACTCACACACATGCAGGCAATACACTCATACACATAAAAACAAAAAATATATAAATTTAAATGTCATTAAATTTCTGTGCTGTATTAGGTGCATTGTGTAAGTAGTGGGGAGGAGAGAAAAGGTGTTTTCCCACAGAAGGTGCTGACTTCAGTGAGTGGTTTCTAGTCAGCAGTATATATGCCGTAGAAATGAAATCCAAAGGGGGTTGTTCTTAGCATCTTGTTGGTTTGAAAAATCCAATTTCCTCTAGTTTTAAATTAGGACACAAATTTGGAATCTCATTAGGACATAAATGGTTGTGCATATATTAAAGCAAGCTTAATTCCTCAGAAATTGTCTATCTTGCTGTTATGCGTTCCAGTTTCAGACATGAGGACAGAGAGCTTTTGGTGGTCTGAAGGTTTGTACCCTGCAGTGCAAATCCAGACATGTTCTTCGCCCTACCTTAAAAAGAAAGGGAAGAAAGAACTTTTCCTCCCATTCTCTGGGCTAATTTGTCCTTCACTATGCGACCTCTTCACTTATTCTGATGGATAAAAGGGGAACAGTTTTAATTAGGCACTCATCCTTTTATATATGTTTCTTATGGGTTATTCTTCCTAAGAAAAGTGGCTGATCTATCTATTCAGAAGTAGCCTCAGAGACTGTTTGTCCAAGAGCTCCAGAGTCAGGAGGTGGAGCAGATCCTAGGGGTGAGCTGGGGACTCTGGATACCAAAACTTAGAAAGGGCATTAGAAATTTCACTGGGGTGGGGACAGGAGGTAGACAGATGGCTCAGCGGTTAAGAGCATTGGTTGCTCTTGCAGAAGACCCAGGCTCAATTCGCAGCACCCATATGCTGGCTGGCAGTTATCTGTAACTCCAGTTCCAGAGGATCCGATGCCTTCTCTGACCTCCATGGGCACTGTACAACACAGGTGCACTTACATATATGCTGGCAATACACTCATACACATAAAATAGAAGTAAATAAAATTTAAAAAAAAGAAAGAAAATAAAAAACAGAAATCTCACTAGGCCCAGGCTCCTGCTGAGTGAGCACACTGGGAAGGACAGACAGGGTTTCCAGGAAAGACACGTGCTTGACCAAACAGCAGAGTGAATTCTGAGAGATGGGATTTAAAAACTCAAAGGCCTGCATCTATTTTTTAAAAAATAATTTCCATTTTAGGAAGTTAGTTTAATGCTGTGTCCATCAGCAGAACAACAGGCTAGTGCCTCTCTGAACTCTTAGGAGAAGCTTCTTGTTTCTCTCAGCAGACGGCGGTTAACACAGACCCACAAGTGATGCATGTGCGGAGAACAAGAGCCGCGGAGCGCTCATCCTTACTGATGACACCAAACTTCAGCCTCCCAAGGCTCAGGTCATTGTAGACGAGGGGATGTGAAGGTTGTAATAGCCAAGGTGCTGGAGGACCGACCACAAGGAAACAGTGTTTCCAGACAGGTCAGTTACTCCTGGGAATTCACAGCAATTTTGAGAGCATGCACACATAAGCTCAAGCCATGCAATGGCCCAGCATGCTGTGGGGTGGGGATGGGGGTGGGGGTGGGAGT